AGAAGGTCTGAGGATATATTAATTCCACGGCCAACACTGGGTACTATCTTAATTACTATAGCAGACGACTTCGAAGAAGCTGCCCCCAACTAGGTTGCCTGAAAACAATGAAATTATGAAAACGAGGTCAGACCACTTCTCGACATAGTATGACCTATTTATGTATATACACTAGTATCTCTTCGTCTTACAATTGTTTCCTAAGAGTTTCATATTTAGTTTGGATTTAGTGAAGCAAATTTCCCACATAAGCAGCTGACTGCAAAGCTTCTCGGTCCCCATCAGAAATTTGGGCTAAGTATTGGTTTTACTAGAGTTGTACTGTTTAGGATCAAGAATGACCTGTACACGGAAGCCAAAATCTTTGGTAAATATGATAGTTTAGTTCGTCTTGCTTGAGTTGGGACTGTATGAAGCAGTGTTTGGACTACTTATTAGACTGGTAGACTTGCTACTCTTAGAAATCAAATGTTGCTTATGGAAGTAGCGTCTGGTATTTCACACTTAGTAGCGCTTTTTCTGTAAAATAAAATCATACGCAAATCTAGAAAGGTCTGGTGGGTTTATCGTAAATAATCATTTGAGTTTTGTACGCGTACACAAAACTAGTCAGTTCACGCATTCTTCAAACGACATAAGTCTACAATAGAGAAACCACACGGCCAAGTTTCATATCAAAATCTATCAATTTATATTACTGATAAAGATGCAGATTTTTGAAAATAAAGACTATAGCGTGCCTTCGATTCTTTAGAAATATGAGTAGGCAATTTCTGCCTACCTTTCATTAAGTTTAAGGGGGCAAAAGTAAACGATTCCTAATTTTTTTTAATCAGCGGAAGCTAAGTTAGCTATTTCGTCGACGATATCTGTAACCTAGCAGAGAAATGCTCATAGGGGCTACGGGGATTGCGTCTATATCTTAATGGCACAAATAGTGAATTTAAAGACCGGGCAGTTGGGAGGGCTAAATATCAAACTAGCTTACTACCACATCATAACTATTCTCCTGTTACTCCTGGTCACTTGAGGCGCTACGACTCGAGGCCGGTCGGTACTCGATAAGCACAGGACCCATCTCTATTTTCTCCCATTTCTCTTGGACTTCAGGCGACATAGAAGCGACTAAGGGCATTTCTTCACGAAGTAGAATGTGCAAATCATTGCAATAGGCGTCGCAGTTGTCGTCAAGGTAAACGCGCCGCCTGTATCCAACAAACATATCGGCAAGATGGATGACATTTTGTAAGAGGAGGTAGCTCCTCGGTCACCGTAAAAAGACGGACGCCAGTGTTAACAAAGCGGATACCTGTAAGAAGAGAAAAATAATAAGGAGACAGGCGAAGAATTCAAAAGAGTAAATAGAAAGCAAGTCACTAACAAGTTAAGGATGTGATGTTGGAAAATAACGCGCAAAACTTAAATCGTCTGGTGACAGACGAAGTATAGCTGGAATTTTCTTGTCCTTAGGCTCGGCTTATCCACTCCATTTGTCGGTTTACGGCCTGCGCCTGACATTAGGCTCCTTTTGTGTCGTCCCCATCTGAAGACATCTCGACAAGGACTCTAAAATACCAAGCGAACTTTTCTGTACTCTAATTAGATAAATATCTTTACGTATCAAAAAATGCATGAATAAAATTTAATCACATTCTTTTCCTTTCTTCTCTTAACTCCCATTGCTTACGCCATCTATCTCCTCCTGCATTTGTAAACAGCATTAACAGCGGTTCTTAGCTGGAAAGAACGACCACTCGCGTCTAAGGGAATCTAGTTGGCCGCAATGGTGCAATGAATTAGTTATCGACAAATTTTGGACAACTTTTATCTATCTGGCATCAGTAACATCATTGCTCGAATCTATACTGTGATCATCCCTTTCGTTTTTGTGCGAAAATTTCCGCTGAACGGCTATACATAGTGTAATAAGGAGGTGGAGAGAGAAATGATTAAATCATATTAAATTATGTAATACAATTACTCGTTAGCATAATATTTATTGAATACGAAAGAATGGCAAATTTTATTTCAATTGTTTGCGGCCACCTTGAGACCGCGTTACTAGTTCTTAATGCAAGTCAGACAAAGGGCGAATTAAAAAGCAAAGGCTCAACTCACAATCGGCATCTTGGTCCACATCCCGATCTTTCTCCTCAGGCTCTTCTACGGATTTTTCTTCTGTTCTACCGTTTACATTCACCGACTTGATGAAACACTGGTCATCCACACTCTTTTTCCCCTTAGTGGCATTCATCCAAGGAAGATGTCGAATCTTTACCAACACGGATATGAAGAAACCGCAAGTGTTTTGATTCTGCGGTAGAACACGGCGACATCGGTCCAGATGAAGCTGGCCAGAATTAGGTGGAAGAAAGAGGCTAGGACACAAATTAGGCTGAAGTCTGTATATAAAGAGAAGCAAGTGGAATGTTTTGAGTAGGTAGTTACACCTTAACTATCCTTTTATTGGCAGTATTCCCTAATCTTCATTCTAAATGCATATCAGCTAAAGATGGTTTACATAGAGATATTTCCAGATAATTCCTACTATGATTGCCCTGTCTCATGTGGATCAAAATTAACAGGACTATGAAAATAGGAAGAATTTAAAATAGAATGTAACAAATATCAGTAGTACTCTGATTCAGATTTGAAAGGGACAGGATGCAATTAGAAAGAAATGTAATGTTAAGTAAAGAAGTTAATGAGTCGACCAAACACAAATATTACAATCAGCAATGTGAAAAGCAGAAAATAATTTCTTTGTTGAGCCTAGGATTTCCTGAATACGATGGTTGTAATTAATAATTAAATCCTGTTTTGGATACTCATTAATCCGGGTAAGATCGAAATTGCCTTCCACTCTAACTGACAAGACCAACTGTAATTGATTAGCATAATGACTTCCATTGATTTTATGGGGGGAAACTTGATCATCCGGTTTAGCGTTTCTCTAAGAACTAGGAATAGTTCCTTACCCTACAAACTAATCTGGCCTTAATCCAGATAGTTACACTCAAACGCTTAAACACAGACATTCTACGATATATGCTAAACGTCAAAGATCTTTCAACTAATTTGGCCTAAAAATAATGGCATCGAGTTTTGAAATGCATACCAATCTGAATGAGAACAATTTTTGTAAAAGCATGGCTATGTAAAATTCAATTTAAACGTCGTTGTTGAAGAATTCAACTTACAGAGATATTTTCATGGTTGTAGACTATAAAAATTCTTACTATGATTTCCCTACCTAATATTGAGCAAAATAAACAAGTCTATGATAATAGATGAATTTATTAGGGTGACCTTAATTACGTGTGTAAGTGCATGAGGAAGTGATCCATATGTCGATCTCACAAGATCAGGATGGATAAATCCCGCTGTACTGCAGCCGTTTGTCTTGAATACGATGTTCAGTTTGATGCAGTTTACGAGACGTCCTCCTTCCCTTCGTGTAAAAACAGGCTGAGCGTTGTCCATTATATGATGGGCATCATCAGGGTTGGGTCTCTTTCTTGTAAATCTCTTCCGTTAGCAATAACACAGAAGACTGTCCGGCTCTATCTACATCTTATATAAACTTAATTATGCAAAATAAAATTAAAAATATAGATAGATATATAGTGGTTTGTCTAATTATTTTTCATACTTTTGCACAAGTGTATGCTAGTGTGCATGATTGTGTGTTAGCGTCTATTCGCGATACCGGTTCTCAATCAAAGTGATCAAGAGGCTAATGTAAAGCTCTGATTATTAAGGCTTACTGAAGCAAGAGAAAGCCATACCGGGACTGCTTAAGTCGCTAAGTGAGTATGGTTCAGATAATGAGATGTAAGCTTGTATATTTGTAAGTCAAGTTACGAAGCCATTTGTCCTAACCTCTCAATTTAGGGGTATTAACGTTTTACCACTTGAGGAAATGATCGACTAGGGCTACGTAATCTGGCATGCCTAGTTTGGTTAATGAGCTTAATCTGACATGTTGGACGAATGTGAGCAAGTTAGAACCATTATTTAGCAGACCACTTTATTCACCTAGTTTTGGATGGTGGATCATCACCATCTATCTCCTTCAATCTATAAATCAAGCATAAGTGGTTCCTACTCAACTTTCTACTTACGTTCCTCACATTAACCTTATTTCCTAAACTATTTATTTCACTAGCGTCTTATTTCCCTGGCCTCTTCACTAGTCTCTTTTACTAGCCTGTATTTCACTAGCCTCTTTTAAACCCAGATGTTAGGTAATCAGCTAACCTACTAGTTTGAGACCATTTGTTTTTATGTCTAGATTCTACAATGTGTTGGTCACATCTGACCTTTGACATAGCTTCTTTTACAAGCATTTTTGTCCTTTCCCAATCTTTGTCGTGTATATCGGAATGTCTCACTAGCATCACGACGACCACATGAGCAAACAATCTTGTAGCAGCCCGATATCGATTATGGGTCATAATTCTCTAAAAGCTGACATAAAAGAAGAAAGAGGGAGAGTTTCTTTGAACCTTGTTTTAATCCCCCACTTTATTACTAATTTACTTATTCTTTTGCTAGAAGGCATGACGGCAGAATTAGGACATAGTAAAAGTTCTAAAACTGTCTGGCCTTGGCTAAATGGTCTCTTTCTGAAAATGAATTTCTCAGTAGAGAGATATTATTATCAATAAAGCCCAAAGGATAATTATTTTTAGGACTAAATTTGTCAGCCCTCTTAACTCTTTAATAAAATATTTGCTATCCGCTGGCCTCATACTCCTAATAATCATTGCTCTGGCGTTGTGAATTTATTTATTACTTTTACGTTTCAAAATAAGTAACGCATACCTCTACGGTTTCCATTAGCCTAGACCTAATTCTTTATGTAAGATCTATCAATAAAGCCATATATGTATCAGTGTCATTAAAATCAACTAGCATTTTTTCTAAATAACTTGACATATATATGACTACCCCTTGCTTCACCTTCATAACGAACATATTATTACCGCACTGATAGCTATAAACCCTACTAAGAAGTCTAATACTATCCTTAACTACCCTGGCAATTTTTCAGATAAGCTAATTAGTTCAACTAGTATATCCAGAGAATGGTTTACATTAATTGGAAGAGCAAAATTCAATCCTCTTTCCAATAAAATTAGCAAACTTTCCTCCAGAGTTGTACTGGATAAATTGATTACCCTATCCTTCTCAAGTTTGTTACAACCATGGCTACAACGACTTACCTTAGGCGCAAAGTTTATCGACTTAATTATAATTCCCAAGTTTTGAAGCTTCTTACAATATATCCACCTAGTTATTCTGTCAGTCGCCTCTCCCAACCTGTCAGCCATGTCCTGTAACTTAAAAATCCTCATCCTTCAATATTTCAAAAAGGGATTGCCTAACCATTTTTAGTTCTAATGAGTTCGTGTAGTCTTTTAATACTATCATTGAGCTTAGTTTTCACTACAGACATAGTAATAAGTGGATGACATATCAAGTGTACGTGATTATGACCGAACATCAGCTTCTTACGAAAATCATTAGCATACTTAATTCTGCAATTTTGATTAACGTAATTGTGTTCGATTACATTAATTAATTTTAGTTTCAAAGGAAGATATTTGGCTACCAATTTCCTCATTACCATTTAATGAATAATCGTGTATATCCCATATATATATTATGTGCCTATTTATGAAACGAAAAACAAGTAATGTTGTAGATTGCTACTAGAAACGCATTCCTTTTACATTAAAAATCCCAACATAGAATTTGATACAGAAAAATACCTGGCCATCCTTGAAATTGAATTCTGCCCTATGACCCAAACTGTATTCATAACAGCGTAGTATCGCGGTTAACGTGTCGGAATCATATCTACGATATCATGGTTCGAGTCTCTATTTAAATGCTGAGGAGACGTAGGCGAGGTGAATATTTCAGTCCACTCCTGATGGTAATACCTTCAGTGAAGCAAGTCTATATGAAATTCAATATAAAATTCCTGTCATTGCGAAAATATTTAGCTCTCGGATCCCTTATCGACTCAAACGATCTAGAATGAATGAATCTAATTCATGGCAAATTAATAAATTCTAAAGTTAAGTATCTATTCTAGGACATAAATTAAGGTTCAATTTTTTTATAAATACTTATTTCTGATTTCAAGAATAAAAAAATCGTCTGCATTTATCTAGTTAATTAATTATATTTTTAATTGCATACTGGCGCGTTCTTGTGGCTTTTATACGGCATGCTCCTTCGCTATTATCGAGATGAGTCTGGAAATCGCGTTTACACAATGAAGGTTTGCTGGGCTATTTTAATAGAAATTGTTTTAATGTAAACAACCTCTTATTCACCTACCTGTTATGACCTTTCCTAAGCCAGTAGATAACAAGTAGCCTGATTATTTTGCCCGCTATCTAGTATTGATATGTCCACCGTTGCGCACTCCCAATTTTCCTTTTGCTAAATATGGCAGGGGAATGTACTTTCCGGGTGTTTACCTGGGCTTCAGACTTATCTGTGTCCTGGCGCACGGCTCTTTAAGAACCAACTACTTATATTATGTTCCCCACTACTTCAGCCTGCGATGCTATTGCGGTAAAATTTACCAAGCTTTCTCTTCTTTTTTGAATTTGATTTCAGTACGTGGATCCTCAAGGGAATCCAACAATATTTGCACATCCAGCAAAGTATACCCCTGAAGACGCATTTTCGATGCAACGCGTAACGCTAAAGAGCCGATTCAATTTGTTACCCAACCAGCAACCCCCACTGAAGTACTAAATAAAATGTAACTTATTCCTTGAATTTACTTAAGTTGATCCTTTAACTATTTGAAGCACATATCGCTTTGCGCTAAAGATCTTCAGCCTAAATGTTTGTCTCTTTATTCCCAGTCAAATTCAACTCAGTTCACCAAAATATCCCCGCTCTAAATTGGCCTATTAACTGATTAAATGCTAAGCATAATCAGTCGTGGACCTTTTTAGCCATTCAGAAGAACTTGGTCAAATTACTTGACCCAAATCTGATATCGTAATCATAGGGTCATGCCTGTTGTTGGCACCCGATACAAAGGGGCAGATTGAATTGAGGCCCGGTCGTCTGTTTAGTTATGTCAATGTATTGTAAGTAGTGCCCGATACATTTTTTTGTTTTGATTCTAAGCAATCTGGAGCCTTACACAGATTAAGGAAAACTCTCAACTTATCCGGTACATAGAACGAAAAGTACAAACGTTTAGAATTAGGATAATTCCGAATTTTTAAAATCATGAATGCACAGAGGGTTATTTTACAGGTGCGCGAGGTGAAGTAATAGACGAACAGAAATTCTGTCTTGGAGTAAAGGATGAATTAAAGCCGGAATATTGGTCACTTCGATCCAATAGGCTCCGAAAGCATAGGGACGTCAAAAAGATCGCACAATCCTTCGGATTCACCCAGGTTGCAGTGGTAGTCGTCGTCGTTCGGAGGAGGATTTAAAGAAAGCAGAGGCTGATTAACCGCGCTTGTGCCAAGAATACTCGGCTCTCCTAGAGAACGGGTATAAAGTTGGGTACCAAGTAAGCGCTCGTTAGAAGTGGAGAAAGTGTTAATTGAGTTTTCCATCAAACTCATATACTTACTCCCGGAAAGGTGGGAGGAATTGACTTTAAGCAAGCTTGGTCCGCCGATTCTCGATCGGTCACCACCTCCATCATCCTGGTTGACAAGAAGGACCTGGACGGGGGTGCTCGCACTCTTGATGCTCAGCTTGAATAGAAAGGAGGCATAATTAGAAGATAAGATAAAACTAATTACGATATGGTAGAGAGGGGCTTGTGTTGGCACGCAATAGAATGCTCAAAAATAAGTTGCTAACTGCAAGATTCTATGCATTAAATAGCTGTCAGATGTATTAAGGTGGGTTAATTAGACAATTATTGGACAAGTAAAAGTGAACATTGGGTACGTTAAATGGAAATCTCTTAAGCTGAATAATCAGAGTAGCGGCCCGAACCATGCCATTAAATAATTAAAGGTAGGTCCATTGGATGAATACTTACTTGTTCATTGCTGGAAATCAATATTTTGAGCTTATCTAAGCCACATGGTAGAACCACTCAACCTCTAGGAATGAGCATTTCGTTTTGTTACCGCCCTTGGTAATTCAAACA